AAGAAGCAGGTTCATGAGAAAAGTGGATAAGTTGAGTTTGGGACTTGTTCAGTTTGGTGCCTGTAGTACCTCCAGTAGAAATGTCACACTGGTGTGTACACCAGTAGGAAGCTGGCATATACAAGTTCTGGTACACCAGTAAACCAGTAGGAAGCTGGTATATAAAATACAACATATGTTTAACATATGATAAATTAACACTAATAAAATGTATGCTATACAGATGGAACAGAGAAAGTAGATTTCAATAGGAGCTAGAAGAATTATCAAAGTTTTCTTTGAAGAAATGGAACCTGACTTAGACCTTGAACTATGTGTGTTAGGGGCAGGACAAATAGACTGAGAAAAGGTACATGAGAGAGAATATGCATGGACAGTAAGACCATTGCCATCAAAAGTCAAGAGCTTTTTGTTGAACGTGATAGCCAATTCATGAGTACCCCAAAGGTTACAGGAAGGGTTTGGACTATATCTTAGAGACAGTAATGTTTTGTGATCTGGGGAATGCCATCATAAATAGCATTTCAGAAAGATAAATTCCGTAGCTTAATTAGAGACATTAGAGGAGATCATATAGCAAACCTGAAACTGTAATTTCAAGTCGTCTTTTAGCCTTCATGTGATATGTGAGATTACTTGTCAGTACTTGTAAAATAAAAACTACATTTCATGTTGAAGTTGATAGTGTTTCTATAATAAGTAAAACATCCCAAAACTGTCATAAAGAAGGTTTATACCATTAAAGAGGCAATTTGAAGATACTTACAGACAAAATAGGAATGCTAAATTCTTCCTAAAATAGGTAACAGAAGTGAAAGGAGGACATATGGCAGCGATTTAAAAATCTGGATTTGTAATTGCCATTTTTCACTATTCTAGTTATATAGTTGAAGGCACATAGGTAACTGTGAAAAGGTCAAAATGAGAGATTGGTAAGAAATATCAGAAACTGCATGTCAGTTGCTCAGAAGCACTCACTTCCTTATAGCAAGATAAAATAACAGTTCTGTGAGAGATTATTATAAAAAGATTTATGTTTGCAATAAAATACAGTACTTCCACTTACCTTCATAATTCCACAGTTCATTGAAAGGCTTTCCCGGTTCTCCAAGTGGGGCTGGAGGATCATTGAAAAATGGAGCATTAACTTCCATCATCACTCCTGCGTCACCTGGATTCAGCCTGACAAACACTGGCTCATGCTTCACTGGAAAACCATCCCAGGTGTGTTCAATTTTGAAATCCATATTTAGACTCTAAATGAAAAAACGTATATATATTAAAACAAACTCTTTAATAACATGCAACTGTTTCTTTCAGTTAGAAATAAAATGAAAATTTCCATGACAAATGGCAGGCAAGAAAGTAACAAGGTGACCAGAACACGGTTCTGAGAGTCAAAAGGCCATTCGTGTTATGGCAGATCACAAGTACTGAGTTCCACTATAAGACAGGTAGTTGGATCCTAAAAGCTTTGACTTTAAGTCTAGATCCAAAATTATTTTTTTAAAACTGTAATTACGTCCATTGCATAAACTGATAATTTACTTAACTACAAGCACTATGAGTTAATATGTCATCCTGTTTTTTATTATAAAATGAGTAGTTGTCTGAATTACAGGATCCCTGTGGAATCGAGATCTTAATAATAAAATTCAATTTGATAAAAAACAATTCAACAGAAATACAGCTATTAACACCTGTTCTTTTGGCTAAACCCTTTTTCTTTTGGGGGTGGGATTGGGGGACTCCAACCATTTGAAGATTAACAGAGTTTAATATTATCTTCCTTGGTCTCAGGGTATAGATTGTCTTAGCTTTTTTCAATTTTTGTTATTGCAAATGTTAAATGACCAATTGCTTGGTTAATCCCTTCTCACCAATAGAGAAATAGGAAAAGAATCTGCCATCACTTAAACTTTGAAATAGATTAAGTATATTTGACACACGTAGTACTTGCATTTTAAACTGTTTCTCTATGGATTAAATGGAAGAACACAATATATTAATAAAATTGCATTTTGTTGAACACTATGGATAAGGCGTTTTATAAACATTAACTCATTTAATTTCACAAGAAACTTGCAGAGGAACTATTATTATCATTATTACCAAAAAGAAAAAAGCAACAATGACAACAACAAAAACAGATTTTTCCAAGGTTACATGGCTGGCAAATCAAGAAACTGAACCAATGTCAGCCATGTTTTCCCAGATGAAATCATTTTAGGAATCTTTAAGGAGATGAAATCCTTATTTCAGGAGTGGTGGATTTTCCAAGTTATACTAGGTCCTTATGTATTGTTCAGAAGATAATCTTAATTAGTAAATGACATTTTCAGGCTGTAACTTACTTATCTGAAGTCTATGAATGCATATCTTTGCTTCATATGTTATTTTTACTGATAGTAATACAGTTGCTGAATTTTGAATACATTTATTTCAATAGACATGTATTAAGTACCAACTATGTGTCAACCATTGGTAGATGTAAATATGCAGGTTCTGTGTCACATAAGGAATCTAACATCTCTAAAATCCTTCTTCTAAAGTATTTAGCTTTTCCTAATTTTCACTACATGCTAACAAATTTTAATAGCTAACCTCTATAATTAAAAAGTATTGCAAAAGGATAAGTTTAGCAATTTAAACTGAAATAAGCTGAGTGAATGATAAGATGATATAAATTGAGTCTAATTTATGTGAAATTTAGTTCTGATTTGTATAGAATATCTCAATAATAAAAGCATTTTCTTCAGTTGAAATATCAAGACAGTGTCTTCAAAAAGAAATGGATAACCCTCTACCCCAAATTTTGGTACTAGTAAGTACCTTAATATAGTATATAGGAAGAAATAAGAATAAATCAAGAAGTTAGAAATGCTTGTTAAATCTGATTCTGGAGCCAACATGCTGTTCTCCTAACTTGGAGCTTTACAATTCTTGGCAAAATATAGCTCAGCCACTAGGAAGGTTCACTCAATCTTCATACAACCATCACACCCACAAAAATGCGGCACACATCAAGGAACCCCTATCCTGTTCAGTGAGTTTCCACTAAAAAAAATTTAACTCCCAGCTCTTTTAAACAATCATCTCTATCTCTAAATGGAATTAAACCATATCCATTGATAAGCTCCTACCTGGAAGATATGAAGAAATAAAAGATAAAAGCAGAGAGTAGAAGGTAGTGGTACCCGAAGCCATTCTACTGGTTCCTTTCGCCTTTACTCCGAAGATTTCTTTGAGCATTATCTAAAAATTACTGCAAGGAATAATGACTAGATTTCCATCATCAGGAAGGAGTGCCATGGCAGACATGTGCAAGGGTAGAATATAATTTTGGCTTTAACTGCATAAAATGACTTTAGCTTTTTATCAGAACGACAAATTTGCTAATTTGTTTAAAGAACACTTATGTCCTTCTAAGTGTGCATAATATTTATAACACAATCAACCTATAGTCATGCCCACTAGTTTACAATCTGATCTAAAGAAAACATGGACCCAGACAGACACAACTGATTCTCCTTTCAACAACCTGGGGATACTTAGGACTATCGCCTGAGGCTTGACCTCCACCACCTTTCAATGTCTTTGTTTGCACATGTGCCCATATGAAGTAGACAAAATTAAAAGGTCGACATTCACAATCGGGGCGGTGTGCTTCCCAGCAGCACTCCACTCCCTGTCATTCTCCATTGCCCATACATTACTCCGTTTTGATCCACAGCACTTACACTGTATGACATATTTGCTCCTTGTCTCTACTTCACCAGCCAGAATACCTGTAAGTATTGGGAACTCATTTATTTGTTGAGTGAAGAACTGTTGTAGTCTCTGGATCTAAAATTTCATGGTTTCAAGGTCTTGTGCAAGAGAAATTAACTGTTAGTGGTATCATCTTCTCTTTCAACACTATATACCAAAACGACTAAGATGATATATCGTATCTAAAAATTTCCTTTCGATTTAGTTTATGAAAGATTTATCAGCTACTTACTTTGTTTCAGGCACCATGCTAGGTGCTAGGGAAATAAAGTATAAGAAAGAAGTCTATAGGTAGTTGAGGATGATTCTCATATAGCTAATTGACCAGGTCCATTATCAACTGGTTCATTTTGCGGTCCAATGTAATAAAATTGGATCCCTACACCAAACTAAATTTTAAATGAATCAAAAATGTAAACATAAAAATCAAACCATATAAAAATAAGAAAGAAAAAACAAAACAGGAGGATTTCTTAAAAGATGATCTTATTATAGTAGAAAAAGCCTTGTAATATATAGACACATTTGACTACAAAATTAAAAAGCAGAAGTCTGCCTACCACCACCAAAACAAAACGAAAACCACTATTTAAAAACCAAAAGATAGTCTGAAACATCTGCAACTCATACTTCAGACAAAAACTAATTTCTTTAATATTTAAAGCGTTCCTAGAAAGCAAAAAGAAAAAGGCCAACATCCCAGCAGAAAGATGGACAAAGATCTGAAGAGCCAGTTCACAGAAAGAAAATGCAAACTGTTCAACCTTACTTATAATGATAGAAAGGCGAACTAAAACAATAAACTACTATTTTTCACTTAGATTGTCAAGGATCGGAAAGTTTGACAACATGCGGTGATAATGAGGGCACTGAGAAACAACCACATGTTGCGGTTGGAGCATAACGGCCACAGCCTTTGTCAAGAGCCATCCCTCAATAGCTATCAAAATAAAAAATGCAAATGTTCTTTGACTCAACAATTTTAGTTCTAGGAGTTATATATCAGCACCTATGCAACATGCATAAGTACAAAGATATTCACTGCAACATTGTTTAGAATAACAAAATATTGTAAGCAACTTAACTATTCATCAGTACAGGACTGGTAAAGGAATTATACTATATCATACAATGAAATACTACATAGGTGTTAAAAAGAATGAGGCAGCTCTACATATACATCTGAAATATATTAAGTAAAAAGAGCAAGGTGTAAAAAGTATGCATTTATTTAATAAAAATGCAGACTATTTGCATAGATACTCGCAACTGCATACACTATCTCAGGAAGCATATACAAGAAAGCAGTGGTGGCAGTGGCTGCCTTTTTGGAGAGAATTACCTGCCTGAGACAGAGGAGGAAGGAGGACCTACCCTCAACTGTATCGCTTTTTATCACCTATTTGAATTTTATACTATGATAAACACATTACTATTCAAAAATAAATGAATAATTTAAAAAATATTTTAAAGTCCGATTTAAGGCTGAGTCTCTTAAAGAGTATGGTAACTAATTACCTCTTTTCTCGTTTATGTTACATATGCTGAAAATTTCTAAGAAGTCAGAATGAATATTAGGGACATTACTGAAGGAAGGAATATCATTCACCGTGATCACTATCCTATTACGCAATTTGAAGATTGGTTGTTTATACGTTCTTAAAAGAATGTTTATCGTTAATCTGCTTTTCCCCTCATTTTTAAACATCTTCAAATTAGTCTTTCATCAAAAAATGTCAAAAATAACTAAATTCTTTTCATGTTTTCCCGGTGCTATAGAAAGACCTTTAAAAGAAGACAGAACTTCAGGGCATTTAAAGCCTAGGAGAGGTAGGAGGAATCCAGGCTAAAAGAAGGAAGTTACGGAAAAAGTGTTTTCTCAACAGAACGTTTTGCGAGGGAAATTTCCAATTTCCTCTAGTCACGAAATTTTCTTTTCTACAAAAATTCTTTCCAGTTCGTATCCTTCTCTCCCTTCCTCCCCGCCGTCCCTGCCCATTTACAAGAGAAACGGAGAAATGAGGAAGTCGGCCGAAAGAGGGAGTGAACTGTGCCAGCGGGAGGAGGCAGGCACAAAAAATAAGTTCACCAGAAAAAAAAAACTAACGACGAGCCTGGGCGAAGAAGCAGAGAATGAGAGTGAAGAGAGCGTGAGGCGAGAACACAGACCCGCAGACCGGGGAGCTGCTTGCTCTGCAGGCCACACCACTCGCTCCCTCCTTCCCGCGGAATTCACTGGAAAGGGCTCAGCCGTAGGCTCCGCCCAGCTGCCTACACGTTCTGGAGGAGGGACTTGGAGGACTGAAGCAGACACCTGATTTCTCCAGGAAGGAAAAATGATGAAAGAACCACCAGTGAACCTCTGAAGGCTTTTAATCATTCTACTGAAGAGAGAACCGTTTTCTAGGAGAAGGAAGGGGGTCACTCAGTGATATAAATACCGTGCAACAATTTGAAAATCAACTGTAAATCATTAAGATTACAGGAGAGCATACACAGCAATAATTCACTCAAAGCAACTAAAGGCTCACTGGCTATATAAGCCAAACCTGTAAATTATATTAACACTAGCTACAAATAATATTGCCCTAGCCGTAAATTATATTACACTGCCGAGAGGCATACACATAGTCAAGGACTGTAACACTGGGACCAGACTGCCTGGATTCAAATCCCAATTCAGACACTTTCCAATTGGGATCGGCATCAAGTTACTGTAAAAGAATTTTAAAGTAGTAAACATATATATACATATATATATTCCAATTTCAGATATTTAATTTATGCAATGCAAAGATCACTCATTTACATCCAGGAGGGGCTCTTTGCTTTCACCAACACTAATATGTCTTACAAATTTTTAGTGTAAATGCACAGTTAAGTTTATAATTACTTGCTTGATGCCAAGTTAAATCACAGTACGACAATATACAAGGTTCAAATGTAGGAGAGGTACAAGCAAGTTTTGGGGGAGTCAGTGAAAAACTAAGAAAGAAAATGTCATACACTGACCTATTTCAAAGTTGAAGCTTGATCTTTCAATTTCTTCCAACAAGTTTTTGTGTTAACTTCATGACCACTAAAAACCAAATCAAGTCCAATCTTCACTGACTCAAAGCTAAATTAAACTTTTTTTTATGTTTATCTGCTATGCTCCTAACAGCCAGTCTTTGGAGGAAGGGGCCATCTCATTCTCTTAATAGCGAGAATGGACAAAGACCACGATAGAACTTCAGCTACCTAACCACAGACATTGTTGGACAAACTTTTAAAGTTTCTTAAAACATTCCGCTAACATTAATTCGTGAAAAAAAAACAAAAAACAAAAAACATTATGAATCCAAGACAACAAAACTCAAACGGTTAAAGAGAAAGCCAAACTGAGCTATATCTATGACATACCAGTTTAGCGAAGCTAATTCGATCCTTAGAAACACATAACCTACCTAAAAAGCACTAGTGGCTAGCTTCAAGTTAACATTTTTTATTGCTAGCATTGAAATTTCCTCCAGTGTTAACTGTTAAAACAAAACAATGGGTTTTAAATCCAGACAAAATCATTTTTTTAAAGTGAGAATTGTAATCCATCCATGAGACGTTTTACCTAATTCTTCTAGCAAAAAAAAAAAAAAATGCAACTTTTGTCTTTCCTTCTTTTTTTGAGGAAGCCAAGTTATCGCTAAAGAAATAACTGCTGAATTTGCAGGACGTCTGGAGTACTTCTAAGTACATGACTTACTACCACACAGTTAAATATTTAGACAACAGCTGTCTCCCACGAGGGGCAGGACCGTACTTAGCTCCTAGATATTACGAAGTCCATGCTCAGGAATTCCCCAGAGGGTCAGAGGGTCAGAGGGTCAGCCTTGTGGTGGACTCCGAAGACGCCAGTCTGGGTTTCGCTCCCAGCCGCACAACCCCACGTCCTTTCTCCCCCGCCCCGCCTCTGGCCAGTGGGTTCTCCCAGCACAGAAGTGCTAAGAATCAAAGATACTGGGGGAATTTAAAACAGGTATTGAATGACCTACCTAGGTTTATATTTTGAGGGTTTTCTTAAAAAAGAAGAAAAAGCAGGGCGCCGCCACCTGCAGACACAGGTCTGTCGGCTTTCCCGCCTCCTGTCTGGTGGCTCAGCTGGTTGTCATCTCGGTTCCCAGAGCTGAAGCGATAGCCAATAGCGTGCGAGGACTCCCGGAAGCGTGAGGACGTCAGCGCCTACGCCGTCGTGATGACGCAGACGGCGTCACCGTCTCCAAGGAGCGGTCCGGGGCACCGGTTTCAAAGTCGCAGGGCGCGCCGAGTGGACTTCCGCTGATGGCCCCGGCCGTGCGGGAGTCGCCACCCATTCCGCGGAGGACGCCGCCAGCCGGCTGCCCGCCAGCTCCGTCCGCGCGCTCCTAGGTGGCCCGACACGACCCCGGGTGACCCACGGCACGCCTTTACCGCGTCCCGGTGCCACCCTGCTGGGATTCGTGAGAACGTGGAACAGAATTCCCTTGGCGGGTCCCCTGCAACCCTGAAATCTGAAGTCTCTGTCCTGAGCGAGGGGCTCGGCTGGGACTGGGGAAGGCGAGACGGCGCGGCAGGGATGTTGACGCCGCGTGAGTAGGATGCTGATGACACCGCTTGACAGCCTCCAGAGCGTTGCCTTAGTTTTGTTTTCCCGCACAGCGAGCTCTGTGTATTTTTGAGGAAACTAAAGGTGGTGAAAAGCTCCCAACCCAAATTTTATCGAAATGGCCACAGAAATTGACTTTCTGAGAGATCAAAGTAAGCTCCATATTCCTTTATTGCAAATTATTATACGTAATATTTCATGTCATCGTTGACCAACTGATTTTTTTTTTTTTGAATTCCTGTTGGGTGCGTGGAAATTTGTGAACACTTAAAGAAGTTAGCTGCAGAAAAAAACTTGGTGGTATATGTGAGAATGTGTATATATACTTAAGCAGAACCGTTTGGTAAATACTTGTAGATTCCTTAAGCTTACGTGGGACTCTGCTAGACACAAAACATGCTTGTTATGCTCCTCACATGTTCGGGAGTAATTAAACGGCTAATGGCCAGGAGGTTTCCAAGCCAAGTGTGCAGTTAGAACCTAGAGGCACAGCTCTGGCCGTGTATTCAAAAGCTGTTTATTGAGCTCCTCCTGTTTTCGATTATGTGCCAGCGCTATACAAGCAGAGCTGCTACAAAGATGTAGAGGACAGTTCTATCCTCCAAAAATTTAATTCGAGGAGGGAAACCTAAATTCCATAAATACACCGAAGTGGCAGCAACTGCCAACTCTTTTGCCTCGGTTTCCTCATAGGGTTGTTGGCATAATGGAATAAGTATTAAACTATGTAAAGGATTTGGACTAGTACCTGACACACAAATATTGCTAAACAAATATTAACTATTACAGGCTTATTATTAACTGTGGTCAAGGAAGTTGCTGTTTGGGCTGAGATGTGAAGTACTGATATGAATTTACTAGCGAATGAGCTGTGTAGGGATCCCAAATAGAACAGTATTTGCAATGTCGAGGGGATTAGGAATATGCTTTGTTAAAGTCTTGCAAGAAGGTTGGCTCTAATGGAACGTGGTTTATGTGGGGAAATGACAAGTGGAGCCGAAAGGGAAGAACGAGGCTAGATGGCGAAGGGCCTTTTCTGCTGTGTGTTAAGGAGTTTGGACCCTTGCACAGGTTACAGGAACCACTGAGAAGGCATCAGTTGAGAATGACATCAAATTTTGCTTTGGAAAGCCCAGTATGGCCATTAATGTGGAACATGCATTATAGTAGGATGCAGTTAGGTGACTATTATCATCATCCAGGTAAGAAGTGAACTAAGGTTGGTTCAGTGAGATTGGAAATTAGGGGATTTGGGAGAAAGAGGTAAAAGAAACAACTCAGATTGTTGGCTTGAGCAACAGGGAAGGTAGGGGAAAAAATGTTAAGTTCCATTTTGGAAGCATTAATGACCCGTGGGTAAGAACTCAGCCTCCGGATTCAGTCTGTGTAGACTCTTACCTTGGCTCTATCTGTTTCCACGTCTCTGACCGTGGGCAAGTTACTTAGTGTTTCTGTGGTTCAGTTTTCTCATTGTAAAATGGATATAAAAGCACAATAACCCTCATGGGATTGTTAGGATTAAATGGATATAAAACCCTCATGAGATTGTTGTGAGGATTAAATGAGTGCAAATAAAGCATTTAGCATGGTGTCTAACATATAATAAGTACAGAATATATATTACCCCAAATCATTAATGACACTAATGATACTATAACATGAGCATCATTTCTTAGGTTTGAGGTGGGACTGTCCCTAACTGGCTGAACACCATCTGAGTGGCGTGGGACATGAATTCGAGTTTGGATGAAGAGAATACCTGAGGCAGAGTTATATGGGAATGAGCCAGCCAGAATTCTTGGATAAAATTGAACTCCAAATACCAGAGGAAACCAAATAAGACAGTAGAAGCACAGTAACTTATTTCTTGAAAAAATGAGTGGTAGTTTGCTAGAAGACAAGTGGAGTGGCAGAAGAGAATCTCAGAGGGGACAGAAGCAGCAGCATAGGCTCAGAGGTTTGAAATGACATTGCTTGTTCAGGAAATTGGAACGTGAATGGTAGAGTTTGTATGAAGAGATGAAAATCAGTGAAGGATGTCTATGACCCTCCAAATTTTTTTCTTTAACTGGACCTAGCATGCCCATCACAGCTGGTAGGTTACCCTAATAGGTGAACATCCTAAAACCCTACCTAGGTAGGTCTAGATGGCTTAGCTTTCTCCACCTACGTCTGATCTCTATACTGACATATATTGATCTTGATTGCCTCTTATCATTTGTTCCTTTTGGATTTGGTAGTCTAGCTCAAGATAATTTGATTTGGTACCTTTCACCGGGCAACTCCCTGTGACACTGCCTCTGATAAAGTGTCAGCTTTATACATCATAACTACACCAAACCAGGCCTTTAGTAAACTTCTAGCATATTTGAAGTTCCACCTCCATCTGATGGTTCTTAGGGACCCGTTCGAAGAAAGACTTGCATATCAAGCTCGGAGACTAAGAATTCATTCTTGTAGTGGGGATTATGAGCAGTGGGGATGGAATCATTCTTTCTTTTCACTGTCTTAACAGTGTCTTTTATAGAGCAGAACTTTTTCATTTCAATGAAGTTCAGTTCATCAATTTGCTCTTTAATGGATCTATGTCACGTCTAAGAAATCTTTATCAGTGGTTTCCTCTATGGGTAGTGCTTTTAATGTTGTAGTAAAGAAATCTTTGCCTAACTCAAGGTCACAAAAATTTACGTAAAGATTTTCTTCCAGAAGTTTTGTAGTTTTAAGTTATACATTTAGATCTATGATCCATTTTGAGTTAAATATTGTACGGGTGGAAGGCAAGAGTCGAGGCTTGCTTTTTTGCGTACAGATGCCCAATTGAAAAGACTGTCCTTTCTCTACTGGAGTACCCTTGCACCTTGTTTAAAAATCAGTTGTCCATATTTGTGTAGATCCATTTCTGGATTCTATTCTGTTCCATTGATCGGTTTGTCTACCCAGACACCAATATCCCAGTATTTTGATTATTGAAGTTTTATAATAAGTCTTAAAATCGGATAGTGTTAGCCTTTCAAATTTGTTCTTTTTCACAGTTGTTTCAGCTATCCTAGGTCCTTTGCACTTCCATATAAAGTTTAGAAGTACCTTGCCAATTTCTACATAAAAGATGCTGGGATTGTGATAGCCATTGCATTGAATCTATTGATCGATCTGTGTTGAATTCATATCTTAATGACATTGAGTTCTCTGACCAATGAAAAGGTATATCTCTCCATTTATATATCACTTCATTAATTTCAGCAATATTTTACAGTTTTTAGTATACAGATTTTGCAGATTTATCCCTATGTATTATTGTTTTTGATACTATTGTGAATGGTATTATTCTTTTACTTTTATTTTCTGATTTATCATTGCCACTATATATAAATCATTTATTTTTTGCATATTGTAACCTGCAACCTTTCTAAACTCACTTATTAGTTCTAATAGGGTTTTTATAAAGTCCATCAGATTTTCTGCATAGACAATCTTTGCATCTTGTAAATAAAAACAGGTTTACTTCTTCCTTTCCAATTTGAATGCCTTTCATTTCGTTTTATTGCCTTATTGCCCTGGTTATAACCTCCACTACAGTGCTGAACAGGGGCGGTTGAAGTGGACATCTTTGTCTAGTTCCTGGTTTGGGGGAGAAACATCTTTCTTTCAGAATTAAGCATGATAACTAGCTGTAGTTTTTTTTCACTGATGTTCTTAATAGATTGAGAGTATGCCTTTCTATTGGTTTTCTGAGAGTTTTTATAAGAATGAATGTCAGATTTTTTTCAAATGCTTTTTCCGCATTTATTGAGAAGATTTTTTTTCATTTTTAGTTTGTTAATAGGATGATTTACATTGATTAAATTTCAAATATTAACATGTTAAGGCCTTTTCCCTTTTTGCGATAAATTCCTCTTGGTCACAATATATTATCCTTTTTATATATTGTCAAATTTGATTTTCTTTGCTTAAAATTTTAACATCTATATTCCTAAAGCTTTTTTTTCTTCTTTTTCTAACATCTTTGTCTGGTTTTGATATCAGATAATGCTACCCTTATTGAATTATTTGGAAAATATTTTACCCTCTTTAATATTCTGGAAGAGTTTGTGTAGAATTGGTATTATTTTTTCCTTAAAATTTTAGTAGAATTCACCAGTGAAGCAAATTGGACCTAGAATTTTCTTTGTGTGCAGATTTTAAACTACAAATTCAGTTTCTTTAATAAAATGGCTACTCCATATTCTATCGTATACCTAAGAGAGACCCTCTGCAGACGTCCCATGTCTGGAGTTTGTGCAGTTTCTCTCCTTAGTTTGCACTGCCTATTTTAATTTACTCAGTCTCCATCGACTCTTGGCTCCATCTTCTTAATTCAGAAAGTCTGCTGATCTCTGCCTGCATTTTTCCCTCCCGGTGCCATGGCGTGGAAAGTCTCTCAAGTCATTGGGCTGGGCAAGTCATATGTCTCACCTTATTAGATTTGCATCTCTCATCATTATTGTCGGATGTCTAGTGTCTTACAAATCATCGTTTCATTTATTTGTTTTGTGGTTGTGTGAGGAGGGAAAGTAGCCCTCGTTATTTCATCTTGGGCATAAAAAGAAGTCCTGTTCAAGATGCCTTACTTTTGAAATCTTAAATACAAGTATCTTACTCTACTGTCACTATTCTTTATCTTTGGGCACTTCTTTTTCATTCATTTCTTTAACTTTTTCCCAGCTTGCTTTTACTGCTTTCATTTTAGTAGAATTCACCAGTGAAGCAAATTGGACCTAGAATTTTCTTTGTGTGCAGATTTTAAACTACAAATTCAGTTTCTTTAATAAAATGGCTACTCCATATTCTATCGTATACCTAAGAGAGACCCTCTGCAGACGTCCCATGTCTGGAGTTTGTGCAGTTTCTCTCCTTAGTTTGCACTGCCTATTTTAATTTACTCAGTCTCCATCGACTCTTGGCTCCATCTTCTTAATTCAGAAAGTCTGCTGATCTCTGCCTGCATTTTTCCCTCCCGGTGCCATGGCGTGGAAAGTCTCTCAAGTCATTGGGCTGGGCAAGTCATATGTCTCACCTTATTAGATTTGCATCTCTCATCATTATTGTCGGATGTCTAGTGTCTTACAAATCATCGTTTCATTTATTTGTTTTGTGGTTGTGTGAGGAGGGAAAG